CGAAATAAGTATATCGATTTAAATTGCGTTGTTTAAGAATAAAAATAGACTTTTATAACTTATTATTAATTATTATATATATTTTTAAGTAAGACAATTAAAGTTAAATAGACTAGATAAAATATTATAATAATCACATTTATTTAAATAAAAGTTAGCTAAAAATAAATATAAAATTTGAAAATGGTACATATTAATTTCAGCTTTCATAAACTCTCAATTTAAAAACATCATCTTTCAGTAAATATTTTAAAAAATAACCTAGCTGTTAGATCAAATATTCTATTTATATATGTACCAAAAAAAAATTTTAATTTATATAGATTATATATATTAATTTTAATATTAATTTAATATTTATAATTATTTGATCCATAAACATTTTTAACATTATTATATATATATTAATTTTAATATTGATTATGCATGGGTGTAGCCTTCGCCTCTGGTAACTTTCCCGAAGGCTACACCCATGCATAATCCAACTCTAGCTTGGGTGCTAATGATCTAATGGTTTAAATATATCAGTAATAATTTTTTTAAAAGTAAAAAATTTTGATTTTGACTTTAAATTACGTAACATACAAGTGAATTAGAGTTGAGGAATAAAAAAAAATTGCTTTTTATTATACAATCTAAAAATAAATAAATAAATAACCTACTCTCTCAGGCAACGTTAGGGGCCAAAAGTGTGGTCACGTAAAAGCTAAAGCGGGGGAATCTTACAAAGAGAAAGTGTACCCACTAACAAAGAAATTTTTGTAATTGGGATATGCTTTTTTGGTGTATCATAAGGGATTTTCCTTTTCTATTGATTCCTACGGATTGGAGAACCACGGTATCAGCTAAAGACGCGGTATGCTGGGCTGTTCCCCAGTAGCTTCATTTTTTTTTTTGGTTTTTCGCCCGGTATCCGGGGTTCACCCTGATTAATCTGGACCCGACCCGCGTCGCGCACCTAAAAATGGTAGGTGAGTCTCCCAACGGAAGCTGCTGCGTACACAAAGTCTCAAACTCTAGACCTTACTTAAACTGGAACAAGCCGCTTACCACTTGATCCAATCCCTCGTTGGTTCCCAGTAGCTTCATGGTATAACCTTTTGTTAGCTTTCCTGAAGGCTAAACCTATACATAATCCAACGACTTGCTGGACTTCAGTTCAAGTAAATTTTTTATTTTTATTTATTTTTAAGAATAAAATAAGTAAAAATAAAATTTGTCTCTATATTTTTAATTTAAAGATAAAATTAAAAAATCTTTTATTATAAGATATAAGGTGTATGAATTTGAGGTTTTTTCTGTAATTCTAAATTCTTTCAATAATAACTCATTCAATTATAAAATTTTTAATTATAAATTTATATATATATTTAAAATATTGTAACACTAAAAGTTTAAACAAGAGTATTATATTAAGTGCAGTCTTTTAAAATATTCAAAATATATAACTTATTTAAATTACTTTTTTTTAGTGGCAAGCTCAAAAGAATAGGTGAGAAGGTTTTTCTTTGGCCACGAATGGTAGGGTTGAGTGAAAAAATCTGCAATAAAAAAAAAAATTGAAACAATAACTAATGAATTGGGTTTAGGGAGGTCTTGATGAGTTCTAACTAAAAATCAAACTGAACCAATCTCACACAGGTTGGTTAGATTTTAATTACTAGATTTAAAAACAAAAAATCAATAACTAATGAGAATATAACCAAAATATATATCCAAAATATATATCTAAAAAATATTTTACATAATTTTTTCATAATTTTTAAATTTGTTTTGGCATCACTTTCTATCAAATTATTTATTTACTCTAGCAATTTTAATTTTTTACTAATTTGAATTAATAAATAATAATTTTAAAAAATTAAAAATATAAAAATATAAAAATAATTTCTTAATCAAAATCAAAATCAATCTAAATAATTATCCTAAAAAAATTATCTAAACCAATAAAACTTGATTTTTCTAGTTCAATTAATAATATTTTAAAATTTAAAATTATTTTAATTTGTACCCTTAAATTTATCTTTTTAACATTAATTGACAATAAAAAAATAACAATTAATTAAAATGACTCATATGGAATTGGTCATAAAATTACCGTATGCTTTTGTCACTTTTAGTATAAATAACTATTAAAAGATATATTACTTACACTCTTAATTTGTGCCCTAAAAACACAGATTAAAAAAATCTTAAAATTTAATTAACCAATAATTGAATTTTGATTAATAAAAATCAAATTGTATCCTACCATTAAATAGGTGAGATGTTTGAAAGAAAAAAACATGCATAACAAGATTGATTTGTTTAGAATAACAATTAAGATTTAGTGAATAACAAGTAGTTAGTAGCAAGTAGTAGATAACAAACATCAAGTAACAGATGGTATATAATAAATTTTAATTGATATAACCACTTAGTTATGCAATAATTAGCTAATGTTGTTTGATATTAAATGATTAATAAATACATATTTAAAAATATTTTTGTTATTAAAATTATTAATTTTATAAAAATAATAAGAAGAAAATAAATAAATAAATATAAAAGCGTGAATCACTCATTTCAAACTTTAACAATGGCAAAATTTCAAACTTTAACAATGGCAAAATTACTCCCTCTATTTTAGAATAATAAACTTTTTTATTTAAAATTTATCTTAAAATAATAGTTTTTTTCTTATTTAAAAAAAATAAATATTTTTTTACTTTAACCTTATAATTATCTCCAAGTTTTAATTATCCATTATTTGATTAAAATAGTTATTTATTTTTACTTATTTTTTAGAGGTAAAAAATGTAAAAATAAAAATTGTCCTCAAATCCTTAGTTTTAAAATAAAATAAAAAATTATCTATTATTATTCTAAGATAAAAGGAGTGTTAATTTTAAATAAAGAAAGAATAAATTTTTTATTATTTCATCTAATTAGTAAATTTTATTTATTAAACTAATATAATTTTTTAAGATAATTTAATGTAAAAAATAAAAATGTAAAAATCACTTAAAAGTTATTAAGAAAAAAACTCATGTAATTAAAATCAATTAGATAAGTATAATTAACCGTGATAAAAATTTTAAAAAGATAAATTCATTAATAAAATTAAAACATTCAAATTTATTAATGGTGTGGTAAAAAAAATCTACAATAACATTTTCAATTTGCTAGTTATTTGAACTATAAATAATATCTACTAGTTTCAAATCATTAAAAGATTTTATTAAATATTTAGTTTGTAACAATTTCAATATAAATAAATTTTTTTAGATAACATTTATCCTATAACGATTTAAACAAAATTACTAACAATTACTCCTATTGTCCATTTATTTTTAATATATCTAATTTGATTTTTTAACTTTTAATAAATAAACTTTAAATAAAAATTGAAT